TCTGACGTGACCAGACCCTTCGATCCTAATCAACCAGACTGTACACCAGGTGACTCGACCTGACAGCAGCAGCAGCGACCACCAGAGAGGAGAGGTAGAGGTACCACACGCACACACATGCAGCCAGGTAAGGGGATGAGGGATTCTTCTCCCTTTTGCAGCAGCCGTTTATGAAGACTCCTCGTCGCTCCACACTCCAAAGCTCCACGTGAGGTAAGTGCTTCTCTTTAGCCCCTTCTTCTTCGGCCTACCTCTCTCCCCTATCCCAATCCACCTCTCTCCTTACACAACCACCATAGCCAGTATCTTCAAGCCAGCATGTCTTCCTCGCCGGCCTTACTCATGCCAGCGCATCAGTGAGCGCAACGAGTCATGCTCTGATACCAAATTGCAAGGAACCTGACTGTTCACACTTGCTGGAGTGTTTCATTTCGCATGCACAAATGTCATCACACAGATTAAGTAGCCTCACACAAAGCCAAGTCGAGATGAGATGAGAACCGGATAGCGCAGCTTATATTATCAAAAATTACATTATACAAGAGTATCTCGAACTCAAGAGTTCAGCGCCCACAGAATACAAGTCTCTCCCTCGTTCAATCATACACACAGGGCCTGGCTCAGCCAGCGTCTGCCCCAGATCACAAGTACGGCGCCAACAGGTAAGTATCCACCATATCCAATGTCATAACCTGTCTTCTTTCTCTCCTTCTTCTCTCTCAAGATCTTTGCCCTGGTTCCCTTGTCTCACCATGGATGCACACTCCCTGTCTACGAGAATCTACTCTGAATGCTACTCACTGAAGTTCTACCTCTAACCCTTCTGCTACTATTAACACAAACTGGCGCAGCTATGGCTTCCCTGCAGCCAGTGCCCAGCCCTCCTTCCTTCTGGCGCAGCTCTCCCTCAGCCAGCGCTCCTCCCAGCACTATAGCGCACAAGTGCCTCAGCACTTCCACGCATCAATGCCAATGGGGAATCTCCCTTGTGGGGAGGCCGCCTCGTTCTTTATAGTGCTGGCCTCCCCTTGCGAGGTCTGAATTCAGTCTGTCTTGGGTCCCTGTCCCAGTCCCAGCCTCTGTGGAGTGTGTCCCAGACCCTTCTCTTCAGGGGTCACTGCTGCTGCGGCCTACAGGCCTTAATTTCGGACTTGCAGTCTGTATCTAGACTCTTCCTATGACTCGAACCTTGACTGGGACTTTATCTTTTGGACTTTTTTGAACAGACACATCTTCTGCTCGAACAGACACTCTTACTGCACGAACAGACACATCTCTTGCATGAATAGACATAACCTGCACACCCCCTGGATGAACAGACGTGACTCCCTCAATTGAATGCTGCATCTGTTCGTCCAGGGGCACAACTGTGATCTTTGACATTGTCTTTTACTTTAGTTAGGATGTGACTCTTGACCCAGAGAACATGTCTCTTGATCTGCTTTTCACGAGTTGGGCTTTGGGCGAGTGACCCCAATATGCTGCTCTCGTCAGTCAGGGTCTGAATCGGGTAAAGGCCCTTTTAAAAGACAGGAGAAAACTAAATTAATAAAAGGAAAAAGGATGTGAAGTTGTAAACCATACTTGCTGTGCACCTCTTGTGTGGCACTCACTCACAGGCAGCGCATTGCACAATGCGCTCAGAGCGCTCCGCACGGGGTAAAATAGGTATTGAGGAAAACAAAAAAGTGCGGTGGTGGGGGTTTAAACATCGGCCTGGGGTTCCTAAAAAATTCCTTGATGCCCCGCGCAAATTTGTTTTGGGGCCGTGCCATGGCCTGAAATGTTTTTTGGAGGGAGTACCAACCAACTTCGAATTCAACTTTGCCCGAATTCGGCGAGGCCTTTACCCTACCTAAGCGCGGCCCATGGTCGCCATTCCGCCGCGCGACTGCCATTGGAGCCTCCCCGGTTCACGCGTTCATGGTGGCCATTCCACCTTCGTCCTGCATAGCTGCACAGCTGTCGTGCAGCCTACGATTGCAGGAGCAGGCAGCGGAGGCAGGCATCAAGCAGCGGCCGCAGGCAGCAGGCAGCAGGAGCGGCAGGAGACGAGGAGGCTGCGGCCATTCAGGTGGGCGACCGCCAACCTTCCTCTCTCTCTCTCTCTCTCTCTCTCTCTCTCTCTCTCTCTCTCTCTCTCTCCGTGTGTGTGTGTGTGTGTGTGCGTGTGTGTCTGAAGAGCTCTGGAGAGCTTCATCACCCATTCTTCCATCCCTGCACTTACCTCCAATCCTCCACCCACCTCGCATCGCCATTCCATAGTCGAATGGCGTTTTTTTTTCTTCACCTGTCGTCCTTCTGAGCAGAAGTCCACCTTCTTGCCTCCGACCCCCTTCCTCCGTCCTCCGTATGCCATTCCATCTTCCACCTTGCTCCTTCCTCCTCCTTCCACTTTCCACCTTCCATCTTCCATCTACCACCCCCCTTTTCTTCCCATCCACCCCTTCATCCGCCACCTCTCCATCCTCCTTCCTTCCCTCTATCCATTCACCATTCCTCCATCCCCTATCCTCCGCTCTCCATCTCCTTTCCTCCTTCCACCGTCCTCCATCCCACCATCCGCCATCCCATAGGCCATTCCATCTTCCTCCAGGCTCCTTCCTCCTTCCTCCTTCCTCCGCCTTCCTCTTTCCTCCCTGCTCCTCCTTCAACCTACCTCCTCCCGCCATCGTTCGCTCTTCCATACCCCATCCATCCATCTTCCATCTACCATCCCCATTCTCTTCCCTCCACCCCTTCAGCAGACATATCTTCATCCTCCTCCTTCCTCCTTCCTCCTCCTTCCTCCTTCCTCCTCCTTCCTCCGCCGTCCTTCCTCCCTCCTTCCTCCTCCTCCCTCTTTCCTCCTCCCTCCTCCCTCCTCCCTCCTCCTTCAACCTTCCTCCTTCCTCAATCTTTCCATCTTCCATACCCCATTCCTCCATCCACCATTCCTTCATCTCGCTTCCCCCTTCCTCCTTCCTCCTTCCACCATTTATCTTCCAATCTTCCATCTGCCGTCCCCATCATTTTCGCTCCAACTGAAATGGTTTCACTCAGTTGACCCGACTTTGCAGACACAGAGATTTGATCCCCAGACCTGTGCCCTAACCCTGTTCATTGAACCTGTGTGCTGAGTGAGATTCGATCCCTAGACCTGTCCTATACCTGTACATAGGCCCAGTGACCTGAGTAGGATTCAATCCCTAGACCTGCCCTACGTCCTAGGCTAGTCTGTAGGTCGGACAGTAGGACTTGATCCCTAGGTCTGTAGATTAGGAGTTAGGTCTGTTACCGTTAGGCTTAGGAAGGCCTGTTCTAGAAATCTCTATCTGAGTCTACTGAGGCCTAGAGTCTGTCTGTAAGTCTGTAGGCTCTAGAAGGTCATAGGTCCCTGTAGGCCAGTCCAGTCAGCAAGTACCAGGGGTAGGGGCTGCACGTGGGGAAGGTTCTGGAGCACACTGTGGGTTTCACACGTTTTGGCCCAGAAGGCCAAACGTCTGGAAACTTCCTTGGGCCACACGTTTTGGCCCAGGCCCACAAGTTTTGAGGCAGGCCCGGGCACCTCCAAAGAAGTATAAATAAAGAGGCAGCGTCCAGCCATTCATTCATTCGCCTGTGAGCCATGCGGAAGAGCTGCCTTGGTATCTTGTGCGTGGAGGTCTGCAGGTGCCCAAAGAGGAAGTGGGCTGTGAAGAAGACAGCGGCCATAGTGAACCAGTGAGGGAGACACCGGCGGCCATAGCTAGAAGGAGGAAGACGACGGCGGCCATAGTCGCCCAGCTGTTGGTGTAGACAGAGTGTACAGAGTGTGAGCGGCTGTGCAGCGTGGACATTCAGGGTGATCCTCGTACGTGTGTGCATGCGAGAGTGTGGGACGTGAGGCTGGTGGTAGAGACGGTGTTCGGCGGCCATAGCCGCAAGTTGTACAGCTGATTCAGATTGAGTTTAATACAAGTTTATTGTTGTTTCTGAGTTGGAAGAGTTTGATTTTGCCATCGGTTCTCAAGTGTGCATGTTGAAAGCAAGTCCAGAGTCGAGTCTGATTGCACAACCCTTCAGCCGACATATCTCTATCCTCCTTCCTTCCACCTATCTATCGTAGGATGAAGGAGGAAGGAGGAAGGAGCAAGGACGAAAGAGGAATGGCTGATGGAATGGCGAAGGGGGGGGGCGAAGGACGGCCCAAGGTGAAACGGGAGATGGTGAATGTAGGATGAAAGATTGGGAAATGGAGGAGGGGAAGCAGAGGGTGTGGGCTGACCTGCTGTCTGCACGAACTTACCATGGTTTGCTGCCATGTTTTTGCAGGTTGCAATGACGAACGCGAAGAGTCTGCTGAACGGATTGAAGAAGCGCTTCGTAGATGATGGCCCTGCAGAATCGGACGTGAAGAAGGGCTGGAGGCACTGGACCTCTGTGTGTGTGTGAGAGAGAGAGAGAGAAAGAGAGAACACTAAAAAAACAAAAAGAGCTGTACGCACCAGGCGCACCGCAGCGGTGATGATGCGCCCGGGTGCGCACACCCCCACAGTGCACCCTGGGGTCACCGCGCACAGTGCGCACCTTGGCAGCGGGGCATATCCCGTCCAGCGCACGGTGTGCCACAAGTATGATGTAAACACACCATGTAGAATTGTTTTCCACAGGGGATGCGAGGGGTCCAGTATATGGTGGGCATGCCCGGGGTTAAAAACGAGAATTCGCCCAACCTTGCTATTTTGTAGAAACAATCTCCAAATTCTGATCCCCTTGTTTGTGTGTGTGTGTGTGTGTGTGTGTGTGTGTGTGTGTGTGTGT